GTCAACATAATCTTGACCACTGGAATACAAGCAGGCTGTAATCCCAAGTAGAATGCAAAAAAAAGCAAACTGACCACACTGGGATGGATGTGCTTCTGTGCCCTTCTGTGGTCAGTTTAAAAGAGGAAGCAATGCAAACAAAACAAGCTATTTTTTATACAAGTGCGTGGTAACACAGACACATATCAGAAATGTTAAATGTTAGGGTAACATACTCTTTAAAAGTCAGTTCACTACAACAATTTTACCTACAGGTGGCAAATTCCAAAATCGCACATTTTGATGCAGGTAATGAGGGCAAGTGCAGGAGAACAGGCTCTTTTTATATTACTATGTTTAATTTTCAGCATGAATCTAGTGTTTATTTTTTTTTAAAACTGCAAATTCCTTGTAAAGTAAAATATTTCCATCACATAATATATTAGAAGGCAACGCCTTGACAAATTCCCTAAGACATGAGTAAACAGTGTTCTGGCTTACAGTGTCTTCCTACCTCCCAGTGACAACGAAGAAGTAAAATGTGAAGTCAGCAACTTGTACTGCAAATATGCTGATTTTATTAATACAGGTGGAGTACAAAAAAACAGGGTCTCATGAGTTTTGTCTTGTAGCTTTAATCATAGCCATGATTAAGGCTATGTGCAGAAATGTGTAAACCTCTGTATTTTCTGTACTCTACCTGCATTAATAAAATCAGCATATTTGGATGTACAAGTTGCCATCTTCCTATTTTACTCTTATCTCCATCACATAATAGAACTTTATTTCTATTGTTTTCAGTTTAAGATGTTCAGCTACATTTTCAATATATTTGAAATTATTCACTTAAAAAAAAACTAGAATGAAGAAAATATATTGTTTAACAGCTGTGGATAAACAAGATTCATAAAATGAATAAAGAAAAGTGTACATATTTATTTACTGCATAAATGAGATACAAATCAGCAGATCCTTTTTTTTAAATCTACATAATAATGTTAAGTGCAGGCAACAGGTCACACTTTGCAAAGAGCTATTCACAGGAGCTTTCACTAAGAGACAATTCCTCTATTTCTACCTCATCCAATAGTCATTATTATAATGGGAATTGCCTGGTTAACCTATATGCCTACTATCACTATTTGCATCTCCAGGATGTAGCTACCGGGAAAACATGCTGAGAGCCGAGAGAATAATAATAATTGCTGATAGCATAGTCTTGGCCCTTGAACAACCAGCAGTTAGAAACATTTTCCTTTAAGGACTGTTTAATTTCTTCTAGCTGGAAACATATTCCCTAGCATGGATTCACACGTGCCATGTAAATTAAAGCTCTGTTTAACCATTTCAATACCGTGCAATTTTACACCTTCCTGCCCAGGCCATTTTTCAGGTTTCAGCGCTCTCACACTTTGAATGACAATTGCGCGGTCATACAACACTGTACCCAAACTAAAATTTTGTCATTTTCTTCACACAACTAGAGCTTTCTTTTGGTGGTGTTTAATCACCGCTGGGGTTTTTATTTTTTGCTAAATTAACAAAAAAAGACCAAAAATTTTGAAAAAAACCCACATTTTTCTTTGTTTCTGTTATAAAAGTTTACAAATAAATAATTGTTCTTCATAAATTTAGGCCGAGATGTATTCTGCTACATGTCTTTGGTGAAAATAACCCAAATTAGGATGTATTATTTAGTTTGTAGGAAAGTTATAGAGTTCACAAACTATGGTATAGATCTGAAAATTGATCAATCCTGAAGTACTGACAGCCAATCTAATTTCTTGAGGTCCAAGAATGTCAGAACAGTACAGATATCCCACAAATGACCCCTTTTTGCAGAGTAGACAGTCCGACGTACTTCATAAGAGGCATGGCGAGTTTTTTGAAGTTGTATTTTTATGTCATAATTTTTCGGAAAATGAAAAAATTAAAAAAATTATTTTCACTATTTTTTTTTTTTACATACTGTCACCAGTGCAGTACAGCGTCATCATATAACTGGCATGGCGGTTAACAGGGACACTGACTTGTGACAGTATGAAAAAAAAAATATATATATATTTTTTTTTATTTTTTTTTATTTTTTTATTATATTAAATTTTTTATTACATTTTTTTTTATTTTTTTTTAAGATTTTTCTTTCATATTTTACTATGACCAAAGTAGTACAATGTTACCATAGTAACACTGTACTACTTTGGGGAAGTGATCAGTATTTTTTTTTTTTTTACACAATTTGCTTATAGCAAAGAATTACTTTGCTATAAGCAAGCATTTACCTGAATGAAATCGATTCATTCAGCTTTTTTTTTTTTTGTGCTTAGCTGTGATTTGGTCACAGCTAATCACATGACATGTGCATGTGATTAACTGTGACCATTCACAGCTAGGCACTAGTATGCAATGGATGGCATCATGAATGAAGCCATCCATTGTATACAACTGTCATGTGACCTGCTGTGATTGGTCACAGCAGGTCACATGGTACCAGCAACGGGAGCCGGTACTCGGATCTGTCATCGGCCGTGTCCGAGGTGCACGGCCCGTGACAGATCCCGCTGCTGCGCCGCTCTGCATTACCGCAAACGGCGCATGTGCGGGAGCATGCCAAATGGCGTGCACCCGGAATGAAGAGGCACATCTGAAGCCGCCAAACGGCCATTGGCCGGGCGGCTAATGGTTAAACAGCTAACTGACAAAGTAGATCAGGATCAGGACAGGTTTAGATCAGGATCAGGTCAGAATTTTTTATCATGTTCCCAACTGTTGACATGTGCGATTCAGAAGCATTCCCATAGAAGTCCTGGATAAGTAGAAGTAGCACCTGAGCCGAACCACACTGCTCAGAAAACTGACAAGACTCTTTTTCAATTTGCACTGAATCCACACTCTGTCCACGCACTACATATATGTGAGCAGGCACAATAAAAACCGATGTTATTTCACATATCGTGCTAATTGGATGCAGTTCAAAACGCATCTAATTCACATATATGTAAACCGGCTCTAAGGCTTACTTTCAATCAGTCCCAAACCAGTCATGTCATCACCTTGGCAAAGTGATGACATAATATTTAAAATCTATTAAAAGTGATTACTCTTATTTAGAAAATTGATTTAAAATACCATATTTGTTGCAGAAACGTTTGGCTTGAACATGATGGGGTTGATTAACTAAAACTGAAGAGTGCAAAATCAGGTGTAGCTCTGCATAGAAACTAATCAGCCTCCAGGTTTTTTTTGTCAAAGCTTAATTAAACCAGTTGGAGTTAGAAGCAGATTGGTTACCATGCACAGCTGAACCAAATTTTGCACCCTCAAGTTTTAATAAATCAGCCCTGATGTGTTTTGTGGCAAAATGCGCTGCTGGGTAAGGTGTATGTTCATCTGATAGTTTTGGAGTCCGGATAAGTATTTTGATAATTTCAATGAGTGATGAGATAGGATAAACATGGGGGTAAAGAAATATTCATTTTTAACTTTTTTTGTCCAGATTCCCACAAGCAGGGGTTTTAGATATAGGATCAGCCAGGGAAAACATTGTATATGTTTTTTTTTTAAAGCAGAACTACACTGCATCTGGGCAATACAAACTAAAAACTCTAATTAATTTATAATATCTAAAACTCACTGTTCTATCTTTGTCTCCATGCTTTATTTTGCTGAATCTATCCTGAGTAAAGGCAGGAATACATCTGCCCTTAGCTCAGCCATGCAGGCAGGAATGTGTTCTTAGCTGAGAAAACCCCTCCTTAAGGCTCTTGGGATGTATGACAAAATTTTGGTCTAGGCCTGGAAAACGGGAAGTAACTGAACAAATGTATAAATAGTTTAAAACAAATAAATATACTAGCAGAAATGAATAATAATAGTCAATATTGATTGAGAGAGTGAAATTCTGCTTTAAGTTTCAGATAGAGAGAGAGGAAAGGATAGAACCTTTGTAGGTTTTTTTTACTAATGTGATCTCAGTTTGGAAGAATTTCTGTACAGTTGATTATCTTTACTGAGCTAAGAAAATGAACATTTTTCCAATGCAAACGCAGACAGAAATGTGTGCCCTTTTTGAGGAAATTCTGTATAGGTGATCGCTGAGGCATGAAGGAATTACAATACTCCCAGTAGGGACACGTATCACAGTAATACTTTGCCAGAGGTTTTAACCCATCCTCTATCCATGCAAAAGAAATATGTTTTAGATGGAGTTATACTTTAACCTTACAACACACTGGTTTCAAAATGAGAGTTTAAAAATCACTTTCAAATCATACATTGTATTCCAGCCAAATAGTAAAAAACATGTGTGGACACTAACCACTCAGCCTACCCTCTTACCTATAGCAACCTTAGACCTATAGTGCTATCTTGGTGGTCAATAGTTGGTATTTAATTTAATTTAACCTTACTATGCCATTTAATACATATATTGTACATGCTCCTGAGAGGCTGTAATGGAAACTTTTTTCTATGCAAGTAGTTTGTGTATTTTTTTTAGATTGTATTGGATGTTATGGCCCTTTGGGCCCCCTTTCTTTCCTGGTATTCTTTGTACCTGTTATTCTCCAATAATTTTTTTTTGTGGAAAAAAAAAAAAAAAAAACGTGAATGGTTTTACCGGACACAATACTAGTAAATCTGTTTACACTTTGAGGATTCACACAACCCTACAAATCAGTACAATCAGAAAGTAAAACTGCTTTTCAGAGCAATGTAACCCAAGTGGCTTCTTTGCAATATATTATTTGTACTACAGAGTTCACTCCATTTTCAAAAAACATGTCAGAAAGCAAAATATCTGTTCTGCACTGTCCGTACTCTTTTAGGTGCTGTTTATCTGTAAAAGTATGGTACAATAAAAGTAAAATCATAGTTAACAATAATTGTTTGCTTATTTAACCGCCTCCCGCCCGCCATATAGTACAATGACGGGTGCAAGGCGGTTCTCTCGTACTGACTCATATGACGTCCTCCCATTCTAACCGCGCATGTGCGGCTCCGGGAGCTTGCAGCGAGGCGATCGGCAGTGCGCTGTGTCCCTCGGACACAACGGATCACCGATCAACGGAAAGAGCCGAAGATGTCGGCTCGGTCATGTGATCAGCTGTGTCCATGTCCACAGTTGATCATATGTAAACAGGGAAATGCTGGTTATCAGCATTTCTCTCCTTACGAGCTGTCACTCTGACAGCTCGAGAGGAGAGGAGAGCCGGTAATCGGCTTTACTCAGAGGGGACATGTACACTGATCATCAGGGCACTGATGATCAGTGTGCCCTGATGATCTGTGTAGCCCCAGCAGTGCCAGCTGTCAGTGCCACATATCAGTGCCTGCCAGTGCACATCAATGCCACATATCAGTGCCCATCTCAGCTGCCTTTCAGTGTCACCCATCAGTGCCAGTCAGTGCCACCTATCAATACCAGTCAGTGCCGCCTATCAGTTCTGCCAGTCAGTGCCGCCTATCAGTGCCCGTCAGTGTTGCCTATCAGTGCCGCCTAACAATGCCAGTCAGTGCCGCCTATCAGTGCCGCCTATCAGTGCCATATATGAGTGCTGCCTTTCAGTGCCCATCAGTGATGCCTGTCAATGCCCATCAGTGCCACCTACCAGTGCCTCCTCATCAGTGCCACCTATCAGTGTCCATCAGCGCAGCCTATCAGTGCCCATCACTACAGCCTCATTAGCGCACATCAGTGAAGGAGAAAAATCACTTATTTACAAAATTTTATAACAAAAACTAAGAAAAAACTTTTTTTTCAAAATTTTCAGTGGTTTTTGGTTTAACAAAAAATAAAAAAACCCATAGGTGATTAAATACCACCAAAATAAAGCTCTATCTGTCACAAAAAAAATTATAAAAATTTCATATGGGTACAGTGTTGCATGACCGCGCAATTGTCATTCAAAGTGTGATAAAACTGAAAGCTGGAAATTGGCCTGGGCAGGAAGGGGGTATAAGTGCCCTGTAGGCTAGTGGTTAAATAAAACAATTTTAAATGTTTAACCTTTATTTCTGGAAATATATCACTACCTACATTCTAAATAATCACGAGACATATTCATGCTTAGGTAATGATGTTTTGCATATCACACAGTGTAAAAACACTACAGTCCACTACAGTCAGTTGCCAAACATATTTTGTGAATCTTGGCCAAATGTATGGGAATCTTCATCACTATACCATATTCCCTATTTCATAACTTCTTATGAAATTATATTATTTTAAAATACTTTAGGCAATTATAAGGCTAGCTTACAGTATATTGTTTTATCTATGACTATAGACCACAGGTGTCAAACACAAGGCTTGTGGGCCAAATACGGCCCTCCAGCCCATTTCATGTGGCCCTTGCACCTCTCCTGCAGGTACCCCCTTGTATCCACCCCCACCTTATCTCAGCAGCCGACAGCAGAGAGGAGAATAGAACTCCTCTGCCAAATCCTGCACCTCTCAGTGCAGATGCAGCACCCCTCTTCCTCCCTTGGTCTCAGCATTCAGCATACACTAGTAACTGACTATACTCCTCCGGAGGTTCTCATCCAGATCCTGCACTTTCTTCTTTCCAGCTCTGCCCCCAAAAGGGGTGCATGGTGATTTTAGGGAGGGTGTGGTATTCTTGACATCTGATGTAATGGGGGTGGGGTGCTCTGGACATCTAGTCTTACAGATACAACCAGCCCTTTGAGGGCAAACATAAAGCTGCTATGGCCTGCGATGAATAGGAGTTTGACACCCCTGCTATAGATGCTTTTAAATGCACAACTATTGGAGCCCTCAATTACTTCCACAGGTTTACCCATAGTTCACAGTCACCAGCATTATTATGCAGGCACCTTTTAGTGCTTGAAAACACTTTAATTTGCTCCTTTCTGCCCCAAACCCCAAGCATCTTTAGTTTGCAAAGTCTAACACTTCTTATGGATTGCTACTTCACATATATCTGCAATTTGATATGGCCAGAGAAGCTGCAATAATAATGTAGATCAATAGCAACTTTCAAAAGGCAGCAGCATATAGGGACATGAAATGTCACACTTTGCAGATTACAGTGGTCCACAATATGGGGTTCTTGCGTTGCACAAAAGAACATTGACAGATACGTGAAGGCATCACTTTCTGCTTTCAAAATTTGTGCATCTATACTGAAGACCTAAGAACAAATTAATACAATATGCCACTTTTTTTAGAGCAAGTGATGCCATACATTGTGAATCTGACACAGAATATCACCAAAGTATCAATAGTTTGAGATGAAATGTTTATTTAATAAAGTAGAGCAAAAACTTTGATTATTTTCACAGAATGTTTATTGCTTCTCCTCATTGTTTTAGATATACTAGTGTATTATTTATTCATTATGATAAATTAAACCATATAATTTTTTTTCTGAAGGTGTTTGAGTAATATGAACTGTACTGTGAAAACACCCTTCCTAACCATCTGTAAAAGAATTTGCAATTTTCTTTGGTTCACACTTGGAATAAAGGGATTGATCTGGAACTGCAGAGGCCTGACACTAAAACACTAATGGGGTGCTCTTTCTAAAGAGTCCAATGTTGTCACCCGCTGATAAGCCTGAGTAAAATGTTCTTTTGGGGCTTTTATACCTGAAATCAAAGTAATGCATCATTAATATTTGAGTCAAAGGACAAGTTACAAAAGCAAAAAACGTATTTTTTTATTGCTGATAAATGAAATATTCCTGGCGTGTATTTTTTTATGGTAGATATTATGCTGTATGAATATGCATAAAAGAGCAAAGCTATCCACTGAGAACAAAAAAAATACTACTGTAATTGTTTTTCTTACACAATGCTTCAGCCTAACTGAATTAAGTGTTATGTTCTAAAATAAATATTTTATCATTCAAAATGTTTCAGGAAATGCATTTGGGAAACAATATACACCTGTGTTAGAGATAATCCATATCTTTCATGTAAAATGTACATCTAGTTACGTTTAATAGTTAAAAGTATACCTTATAGCGCCGCTCCAAGCTATGGATAGAAGGAAAAGGATCACCCCACCAGCAAGTGAGAAGAAGGGAGCTTAAGTCCGAGCGATTCCAGTGTCAGCCAATACAAGTGAAGAGATATATGCTGCTCAACCAACCTCAGGAGTCCAATGTTGAGGAATAACCTCAGCCACCATACTTACCAGGCCCTCTGATGCATTTCAACCCACCCACAGAAGTCTGTGACCAAGCCCCGGTGAGCATTGCCAGTATGGTGGCTGAAGCCATTTCTCAACATTAGTTACCTTTTATACTGACTAATCACAGATAAGGATAAGAAAATCTGCCCATGATCAGTTTGCAGGAGGTTTTAGAAACCTGCTTAAATTCCACTTAATCTGGACTTACCAGCAAACCCCATTTATGTTTATACAGGGGGAAGTGGGGGTTCTTTAATCTTAATTCAGACAATTTTCCAGGCTAATAGGAAAGCTATTGTCAAAAGGGAATGGGGTGTTGAGCACTTCCCTATTGGATATTTAACAATGCAATGCATTAAAAAAAATACTGTACTATAATGTGGAGAGATGGCCCTTTTAATATGCCTTTGCAACATGGAAAAACACCAGTTCCTTAAACGACATGCTTGGGAGATGCTTGTGAACTGTATATGGTGTTAGGGAATAGTACAATTTTCATAGACAGGACCAGTGAGTCTTTGAATGATGTTTCACCTATTACATTTAGCTTACCTTAAATGTAGAAGTGGCACCTAATGTAAATAACTTCAACTTGAAAAAAGGCTTCTTTAGATAGTTTTGCTGCGACACCTGATTTTTTTTTTTATTAGGTGGTAAAAGAACTGAATTGACAGGTGAAAGTAGTAGCCACAACATGTCTTAAATCCACAGGAAAGTCTATTCTTAAAAATAGACTCAACACTATACAAGTTGACCAGTGGCACAACAGTTTTTTAAGCACATTTTTTTTACTGTAGTGTAGTTCATGAGCTTCTTTTGTTGTTTGTTTTTTTCAGTAATGTGTTTCATTGTCTTAGAAGTTAAATAAAATGTATAAACAGAGTGCACAAAACACTTCACAACTAAACATTCCCTGAACCCCCTCCCAACCCTTTATCCACAGTTATTTTCAAAGCATTCAAAATATAGACTTCAGGTATGTGTTTGGTATACATTGTCTGGAGATTACATCTTACAATAAAAATTAAAGTATATTATCTGAGAGACTATAAGCACAAATGTTTGGTGGCTGGACAGCATGTAAGCAGCTTGGTGAGGCCAAAATATAATAGAAACAGATAAGACAGCTTTTACCTTTGAAAAAAAGTGTTAGAGTGTTTTCTCTAAGAGACAATAGCCACACATATTGTAAGTGTGGGAATAGGAACATGGGAATAGGCTGTAAACTGTGAGGTGTAATTGAAGATTTACTCCACAGAAAACATTAAACATTTGGCAAATGAGGTCCAGAAACTCTGCCTGAGCATGTGTTTAGCAGCTGCTGTGGTTTTGAGGAAGCTGCAGTCACTGCTATTCCTCCTTTCAAGCATCAGAGGATCAGAGGCATGTTGAACAGAAGGAGATCCTGCCAACATCAGGAAATGTGGCAAAGAGATTCTAATGCAACATCTCCTCAAAGTGCCACATTTTGGCTCCCTCTGGCATGGTGGCAGGAGATCAACCATTTTACCCTTGTATTTGGGATTAATGGGGATCTAGTAGGGTGACCACCCAATATTGGTCCCTCTTTTTGATGAAACAAATCCTCAGCTCTTCACAAATATATTTGAGCATAAAACCTTGATTTTCCAACCAATTGAACTCAAATCATTGGTATTACTAAGGAAAATACTGTCTTCAAAAATATGTCCCTACTCACCTACAACAACTTGGGTGTGGGAGGATGAAATGTCCTTCTTGAAACCTGCCCCATATCCTCCTTACCACCAAAATTCAACACTTCACCTCCTATTCTTCTGCCTCCTGCTGCATCTTATTCACAAAGATGGAGGTAGTAGGCAAATGATCCTGCTGGCTCCAAAACCATAGTAAGTTCTCTTCCTCCTGCTTCTGTGCCTCCATTGCATGCTCTATCAGGCTACAGGACGTGTGCTCCAGGAAGACCATAAGAAGCATTGTATCACTTATCCGTGCCTAGTTTCAGCTCACCAATTAATTTGTTTCTTCAGAAGGTGCCAAAATGCTTCATGCCTCCTGAATGATGACGCATTGATGTGACCCCCTAGAGTTTGGGTGTCAAACTGGCAGCCCTCCAGCTGTTGCCAAACTACAGTCCCATGAGGCATTGACAGTTACAAGCATGACTCCCAAAGGCAGAGGCATGATGGGACTTGTAGTTTAGCAACAGCTGGAGGGCCGCAAGTTTGACACCCCTGTCCTAGAGCCTGTCCTCATACCAAAATCTCATAGGTACTTATTTATGGCACAATGGTGTTGAGGCAGCCTCTGCAGCATGGGAAACATTGAGTTCCAGTGTGTGCGGGTGTCACAAATGAGGCAGCCAGGTAAACATTGGCCAAGTATGACCCCTTAAAGTGATCACA